GTTATGTTATAACTAAGCTAACACAGAATAAAGTTATTTCAAACTACAATCACCTTTCTTTCACACCAATCCAATTCTCCAATAAAAAATCATAAACACAAATACTTTCTCAATAATTAAGTATTACAAGCGAAATACTAAACCGCAGATAATAATGGCTTTCTGTCAATTTTATAAATAAACACGCCATAATTGGTTGGTTTAGAAAAAGTTGTTAAATATGGCCAAAACGGTTCGGATTGCTGCTTGCTTTGTGATGGTATTTGAACACCAAATAGGCCTTAATTACACACTATTTAACTTTCACTCGTGACAGACTATTTTACTCGTCACAAAAGAAGGTAAATTTAAGAAGTTTGGATTATCTTTGGCGCTTAAACTAGAAGGAATAACTATAAGTTACGAATTCTAAAAAAGATATTAATAAAATAACACACAACATTCCCGAAGGGAGCAAAGGCGTATTACGGCACTTAATGCCACTGTACAATGTAACACCTACTATTCACTACTTACTATATGTTATGAGTCCCATGTAAAAGGCGGTGAGCCTATGGCAATATAACGGGCCCAATTGTAGACTCCGTGCTACTACTGAGATTTTTTTAAAATAAAGTAATACTTTGCCCGGCCAGAAAAATTAACCTGCTTTGCCCGGCAGTCGGACTTGCGACCACTCGACCAACAAGGCAGGTATTAGTAAGACATTAAAAGTATGTACTACTAATCAGATGTATGTAACAACTTACTCACTTAATAGATCATTCTTTTCATATAGATAGGTACCGCATATGAAGCCGAGAAAATGATCCAATGACGTCACCCGCCTGGGTGAGACGAGAGGAACAGTCCATCCCTTTTATCTGGATATGATTGTCATTAACAATTGAAACAGTGACTTTATTTCTGCATACTGAATACCACAAGGCTGCACTTTTACACGTCAATTTTGATTGCTCCTGCCTGAATGAGGCGGGAGGGAGTGTCAGACTCTTACTGACTAAAAACCACACCATTCCTACTCCTGCACTTCGAGCCGGAGCCCCGGTAACCAGTTAGGTACTCCGCGACTCCGATGCTGACCTACATTTAGGTTGTATGGATTATAAAACCCATACAACCTAAATGTAGGTCAGTACGACAACCTATGTTTTTGCAGAGATTTATTTGCATTAAATGAGAAGTCTAAATGGCAACCTTTACATAGGTACACATACATACACCTGCACATAACTATACTGATAGCTCAATTTACGCAGTTAAATGACAATACAGTTTTTCTGTGACTGCAAGGAAATAGTCAGTGCAGTTTTAACCGGTTATTTATACCTATCTGAGATCTTAGTACGAGTTTGTTTGACGTTAAAAATAATCGAAACGAGACCGCGTTCAGTGCTCTAATTGGTTGGTACATTTGAGCCGGCCAATCAGGGTGCGTACTCTTGAAACCAATCTCAATGTCAATGCAATTGCAATCTTATGAAAACTCAATGATTATTCAATGTCAAAACTATATAACCTCTATTGTAGCTGTTAAAATAACATTCGGAGTACGGAATATATAGCCAAACTAACTATCATTTAGTTCATTAAATACGGAATATGTATACAATGGGCGCTAGTGTTGAATCTCCAGAGTATGAAATTTCACAATATCTATGTCGATCTTTCGGAATTGGATTCAAGAGTAAGCCCACAGAGCGCTGAACGCGTACTCGTTATGATTATTTTAAATGTAATACAAACGTGTACTAATGCCTATGGGCGACCAATGAGAAGTCATCAACAGCCCAACAGTCCTCAACTAGACTACAGTATGAACTCCCTTTACGATAGAGGATTTGAATTTCATGCTCAGCATGGTGGTTTAAAATTCTAGTATGAAACATGCAAGTTAATCGAAAATCGACTTTATCAAACATGTCGACTTTAACGACGACTGTAAGAATCTAAGGGTTGTGGCAAATGTTCTTTGCTCTCACACAAGGTTCAGTTTGCCTCCTCTTTCATATAACTAAAAAGCAAATAAGTGAAGCTCTACCACAGAACACGTGGGATAAAGCAACGACTTACAACTAAGTAGCAAAGTTGTATAACATTATTTTATTCTGTGACCTTCCAACCGACCTCACACCTACATCTAATGCGCTTTTACAAGTCCAATGCTACAAGTTTAAGAGGATTTCACGTACAGAATGCTATCTGTCAAGTATCTTTAATGCATTTTGCACCTTGGTGTTTTTGGTATAATGTTGAAAATGTATTGAAGAATATTGCCGATTTGAGATATCTTCTTGTGCTTGCGTTGTTTATAAATTACTTTTTAAAAGGACTCGTTATTTAATTTATATAAATTGTGATATAATAATGTGTGTAACAACAGATTGATTTGGGTTGCCAATAAAATATCGATGTACTTACATCTTTGAATTTTGTCTGTATTTTGTCTGCGATTTGTCATTCGTTTTTGAGAAATCGCCTTTTGAACAAAAAACTTGTAGGTACTTTTACATTAGTTTATTTCGTATTTATTATTTGTAATATTTTGAAGGCGTAATGCTACTTTGAACATTGCAGAATCGAAAAAACAACAATCATCCGAACATAGTACCTCCTCCTTTTTTTTGAGGCAGGTATTTTTTTTTATTAAGGTGGTAAAATCATCGAATGACTGCTCCCGCCTGGGTGAGGCAGGAGTGTCAGACTCTTACTGATTAAAAACCACCCCGTTCCTTCTCCTGCACGTCGAGCCGGAGCTCTGGTAACCCGTTAGGTTCTCCGCGACTCCGAATCGGCATCAGCCCTGTTGGGCCCCACCCGTGGTGGTCTGATGGCTCTTTGAGGCGCGCGCGGAACGCGACGCGCCGTACGCTAGGGTCTGTTTCTGGTCGGACGGGGAGCCATCCATACTCCCCGTCCGCAGGCCCGCGCTTACGGTGACCGGAGATCGTCTCACGATCCCCGATGCCCGAAGCAGGTATAAACTAATGTTTTGTCTCACTTGAATATCACACCTCCAAGTCGATGCAATGGTCGCCCAGCCACTGCACCGACTGCAATCAAATTATTACCTGTATTACAGTCAATACAATTTTCTTTTCCAATATACCACATTTTCTTCCACTTTCCATAATTGTTGTCAGTTAAACTCAACCACAAATGACAGTAAAGCACCCATAAAAGAAAGCACCTGGACTCGAACCTAGCACTTTCGTAGTTTACTGACCGTAGCTCGGTAACAGCATACTTTCAATGTAATAACTCAGCAATTAGATATGTGCAGTTGATAGATTATCGCGTCTTTAATTAGGGGTCCTTGAGACATGATAATGAGCTGTTTTTCAGTTAATTTTTCGAAATTTCACAAGCAAGAAACAATGTCATGTGAAAGTGCGATCTCAAGTTTAACTCTGAAATTTATACAGCACATCATGTCGATAATATTTACAATGTTATTATTTGTTTGGTCTTCTGGTGTTTCAGGTGTCCACGGACGGCGCCGATTGCTTACGATCAGGTAATCCGTCTGCTTATTTCATCGGCTTACTACATAAAAAATGTCGTCGGTGAGAAGAGATGAGATAAAAGAGCCTGTAATAAACGGTTAGACAATATTTTATATATCCAACCGCGGCTAGTACATTGCGATAGCTGGGCGTCCTACGCAGTCGGTACGTATGTTTGGTCTTTACTTCTTCAGAACACGTCTGTGTTCTCAGTGTCCTTACTAGCGCTTTATCTTTTTGATTTCATGAATATTTTCTGATACAAGTATTTCATTTATTGGTCACGTATGTCGTACAAAAGGCAATTTGTACAAAGACAACCTGTAAAATAAGCATTTTATTGTGAGAGGAATATGATTTTTTTTAATTATAGATGGTTCGATAAAATGAAAAAACAAACGCCACTTCAGAGACTGGAGTGCCGTTTCTTTGCTACCAAGTATATAATACCACTAATAGTTTCATAGAACTATAACTTCTCATAATTCGAAATACCGCAGGTCAAATCATCAGTACTTTTTGTCAATCAAACACTTTGACATTCAAATGTTTGCCGGTACCTACTTGACATTATTTCGTGGGTTATTTGATGTACTAAGAACTTCTTTATATAACTCAAAGAACCTTCGAGAGCTGGTTTCGCAATATGTTTAATAAATTGTTGATCTAGTGGTCACAAATACCTGTGAGGCGTCGAGTTCAACATGAGGATCTAACGTAGTGGTAACATAATGTGTCTATGAGGCCTTTTTTTGAGGGGGGAAAATCATCCAATGACTTCTCTCGGTGAGCCGAGAGGGAGTGTCAGACTCTTACTGACTAAAAACCACCCCGTTCCTACTTCTGCACTTCGAACCGGAGCCCCGGCAACCCGTTAAGTCTTCCGCGGCTCCATATCGGCATCAGCCCTATTGAGCCCCATCCGTGGTGGTCTGATGGCTCGTTGAAACGCGCGCGAAACGCGACGCGCTATGCAAAGTGTTAAGTGCAAAGTGGGTGTTACATTGTACCTCTACAGTGGCATTAAGTGCTTCATGTGCAATTCTGCCTATCTCTCGCAGATAAAAGGCGTGATGTTATGATGATGTATGAAAAAGATTGCAGTCTTCGCTATTTATAGATTTTCGCTATTTACAGATAAGTACAATAATCGAATCAAAAACTAATCAAAAAAATTATATTTTTAGCTATTATAACATTATAACACTATTAGATATATGTACTTAGGTAGAAAGTAAAAATTCTTAACACTTTCTTTGATTTTGCTTTCGATCGTGAAATAATAAAGTTATATGTACAATTGTACAGAAATTAAATAACTATCGAAAATTTGGTGTTATAAAAACATTGTGTTACAGAAAAAAAAACAAATAGGTACATGTTACATATTGATCCAGTTTATTACCGTCAGCAAAATAAATCAGTCTATCCGTCAGTAAAGCTTGGTCCTCTATTAGTTAAACTGGACTGTCTATATACTATAGACTTCTATAAACTTCAAAATACCTTCAAAGCCAACTCGAATCTCATTCTGCTTCAAATACTAGGTCGCACAGTGAATTAAAATCAAGTCCACATTTCAACACACATGTCAAATAAAAACTAAATTATAACGTAGTCTTTCATACCGGGCCGTTGTATAAAGAGGCTGGATACCAATCTTTGATTTCAAAACCTTTTTGAAATGCTGTTTGTAGATTTTATGGCAGATCTATGCTTAAATGTCAATAGTATTGTCTTTGTTACATAGGACTCTTAAAAGAGCTGACGTAAAGTAGGTTACATGTTAATCGGACGTGCGTACCAGAAACTTGCTTTAGGTAACAAAATAATGAGCTGTACTGAGGTAGCTACTGTAGACCGTAGATACTCATTTGTAGAAGAATATCAAGTGAAATGAAAACCTCAGACATAGATACGTATCTATTAAAACAGCAGTAAAACTAAACACAATCATTACTACAAAATACAATACTCTTTAACCACTCAAGAACAACCCATACACAACCTAACTAGAGTCCAAATTCCATTGCATCAATACAAACAGTTCTAATAGATTCACATAGGTACCATATTGACCTATGAATGGAAGTCCGTCAGTGGTAACGGGAACGGCTCCCATATGTGGAAAGTGACCGGTTGGTAGGCGCGTGCGCCGACCACCGTGCGCAGTATTTATTACTGACAGTGGCAGTTACTGCACAAAAAGTTTTAATTAAATCGTAAATCTGTTGCTTAAGGACAACGGGATTGTGGGCTTGGTGTAGGATTAAAGAGAAAGGTGTGTTTTATTTGGATTAGACTAGCCTACATTCTGGAAGGCACTGTTTTTGAAGTGCCATCTGTGGTGGACTCATAACATAAATAATTAAATAGTTAAAATTGTGTGTTACATTGGTACATACAGTGGCAATAAGTGCCGTAGATAATGTCCACCTCTGCCTACCCCTTCGGGGATAAAAGGCGTGATGTTATTTTTGTTCTCTCTATGTGAGGCATATGAAACGAAAGATGCAGTGTTTATGAAAAAAATATTGATCAATTTATAAAATAGGTCCAAAGGACACAGTAGCAAATAAAAGCGGCATAAAACACCAAACGTAAGAAATAACTAAACATACTTAAATATTAAAAGATAATAAAAACTATTTTCACAAATCCCACTGCAATCAACGATTACAAGTCTCATCTCAGTAGCAACGAAGTATCATCGAGATGGAATCTGTGTGAGTTATAAATACCAAATGTATTTGGTCACTTTCACTGACCACAGACTACTGACCAGCCATTATCTTGCATTGTAGTCACGCAATCTTCATAACCTACTCTACAAGCGAAATACCACTTTATTATAGAGTGTTACAGTTTATTTTTCTTCAACAAGAGATGATAAGAGATTATGAAAAAAAGACTACACCGGAAAATAATTATTTTAATAGTAATAATGATGTAGTTTACAATTATGTTCGTTTTACTATTTAGTATTTGGTTTTCAGACTGGCTTCAGTTTCTCTTTCATGTTATAAAAAATAATATCTACGACCAAAGAACAACTGGCTGCCTCGTTGGCAGAGCGCAAATGCGACTGCCGGGCAAGGGGTCTCGAGTTCGATTCCCGGGTCGGGCAAAGTTATACTGGGTTTTTTTTAAATCTCCGTAGTTGCTCGGAGTCTAGAATTGTGCCCAGTACCTATATGGCAATAGGCTCACCCTCTATTTCATGGGAGTCATAACATAAATAGTGAAAAATGGGTGTTACATTGTACAGTGGCATTAAATTCCGTAATGTACACCTCTGCCTACCCCTTCGGGGATAAAAGGCGTGATGTTATGTTATGTTATGACCAAAGAACAACGCATAAATTACTATAAGTTAAAAGAAATCTGCTTATAAGTGAAACTTACCATCAAATACACTAACGTCTAAATACTCAAACATCACTCAACTTGAAGTCACCCTTAAGTATAGTTCTGTCACTACAAACTCTTTGTAAAATGACAGAGAAGGCGCGATATTTAAGAACAACTTATAAATTGAACCTTTCAGTATTCGGGCGTAAGTTTAACCTAACAATCAATTAACATTTGTCTAGTGTAGTTGATATACGCCGGGGTCGTGCGGTCCATGGCCCTCTACGGCGCCCCTGTGTGGGCGCCGAACCTGATGATGCGGCCCGCTCGGGCGCTGCTCACGTCACAGTTGGTCATGGCGATCCGACTAATCCGCGGATACCGCACGATATCCGGAGAGGCGTCGAACCTTCTTGCCGGATTACCGCCGTGGGATCTGGAGGCGAAGGTGCTCGCGCGCGTGTTTTATCTGCGCGCAGAAGCACGTCGCCATCGCGAAACTCCGCTGCCGCGCCAAATTAGTGATTGGCGGGAAGAGCTCCGGCGTGATCTCATGGCGGAATGGCAGCAACGACTGTCGCAACCGAGGGCTGGGCTCGCTGCCATTGCAGCTGTAAGTTCTCCTTTGAGGAGTGTAGTTGATAAGCATAAATATACATACACCAACCGAAAAAATAACAAACCGAATTGACCATTGACCTCAGTCCATACAAATTACCATGAATTCAATCATTTTAATTCAAGACGCGTTAATTGAAAACTCTACATGTCTAAATAGAATTTTATTAAAACGGGCTCATCAATTTACACCTTGTTATTTGTTCGTACATGGAGGCAAGGACACCCAATTACATATTTTGAGTGGTCAACCTCATAAACTTTAAGTACATAGCAAGCTAAGCTAACATATCAATACATAGTATAAAACAAAGTCGCTTTCGCTGTATGTCCGTATGTATGCTTAGATCTTTAAAACTACGCAACGGATTTTGATGCGGTTTTTTTTAATAGATAGAGTGATTCTTAAGGAAGGTTTGTATGTATAATACATGCATATTGCACCCGTGCGAAGCCGGGGCGGGTCGCTAGTGTATAATATAGTATGTATTTTTAGGAGACACACGAACAAACGTATCATCTAATAGTAAGTGGTCTGTGTAAGCCATGGACACTCACAACACCAGGGCACTGAGTTA